GGCTCTTACCCTCGACTCGCCTTGCTATTCCTCTGCGGGCGCCCTATATATAATTCTTTTCAAGAGGATGAATGGGATATATGGGTTTATCCCATCGAATTTAACTGAAAGGAAAGACAATATTGTTTGTCAACCGGAAGGTCGTAACATCAAATACATATCCAAGAAAATTTTCCCAAAAATATATTTGACGGTTCTCTTCTGTTTAGTGACAATATCACGCGTGATTTAGAGGAATCCCATATTATACGGGGGTTAGGCTTAGTGTTAAATAAACGGTGACTACTACTTACCCAGTTCCTGCCCCCCCCCCCTCCCCCTCCCATAATATGGAATGTCCCCAAATCTCGCGTATATGGTCACTAAACAGAAAACACCTGTCTTACATCTCCCTGGCTGATCTAGCATAAAATAGATATTAGGAAACGGCATAAATAGAAGTTTTTAGGGTGGTGCTGATCACATCAACTATCGAATGCCGCTTGGTATGTAAAAATATAAATATAGAAAATAATTGTCCGATGTCTCAATGGCGGGAAAAAATCCTTTCTGTTTTTACTGAAAGAGAGCTCGTATAGATTTCAGGTAATGTGTTGAACTCAGTTTCCAGCTTACAAAGTAATCATTAACTCTTTCTCATTCTTCTGCTACTTCTTCTGTGCTCACCGGCTGTAAGCTCCTGTGGAAAGTCCTGGTTGTTCGTCCATTTAGACTTTGGCTTTGTGACAGGGCCTGAGTTTTGCGTTTACATCCGTTTCACTGGTTTATTTCTGTGCTTGTTGATGGTTCTTTGTCGCTCGGGCAGCTGCACTTCGGCTTCGAAGAAGCGCCCAATTAGTCGACTCCTACGTCATGCTTGTTTTTTTCCACAATGGAGGCCAGGAGCACACGTGACCACTATGAGAAGTAATGAATGTATGACTATTAAAAAAAAAAAAACAACAACAACAACACTACAACGCATTACATATTGAATGAGATTCCAGATGAGGTAATCACACATTAGAGGCTTCCTTGTACTGAAGAGTTGAATACCTATTCAAATACCTGCTTGCTATATTAATCTACTGAACGTAAATTTACCTAGAAAAACCACAACAGAAAAATGCTGGGGTTGGTTTTGCATCGTCTTGCAATGGATTCGCAACAAACTCCCCCACTCCCCCCCCCCCCCCCCCCATGTTAGCTTTCTATGACTTAATAAGGAAGTAGTTTATTTATTGCGGCAGTCTTACTGTGTGTAACTCCTTCAACTACACACATCCTCAAATTCGTAGCCTTGTTATTACTGTTGAACTCTATGGATATTCAACACCCACATGTAAGAAGCTGACTGTGTCTCCAGTTTATATGTCGCTTTATTACCGTACGCTTTAAAAAAATCCTGAATGTGGGAACCATAGCCTATTTCCGAATCTGCAGTCTTTTTTTTAAATGGATGTGTGTGTGTGTGTGTGTGTGTGTGTGTGTGTGGGTGGGGGGGGGAAGGGTGCGTGTGATATTTGAATAGACGAAGAGGTACCTGATGAGCTTTATGATAAACATCATGCTGGCTCCACCCCGCCCCCCCCCCCTCCCCCATAACCATCCCCACAAGAATATTTGTGGTACCAATTTTAGGTGCTGTAGATCTGGGAGTTCAGGTCAGTTGTTGAAACTATCCATATATTTGTGTGTGTGTGTGCGCGCGCGCGCCTGTCTATGTTAATTAGACCATATCCAGATTACCCTTTTGTCAAAAACAAGCGAAATTAATATCTGCGTTCGTAAATACCTTCCTGAAATAACCGGAATGTTGTCCTAAATGAGAGCACTGTGTTCACCGGCTGTAAGCTCCTGTGGAAAGTCCTGGTTGTTCGTCCATTTAGACTTTGGCTTTGTGACAGGGCCTGAGTTTTGCGTTTACATCCGTTTCACTGGTTTATTTCTGTGCTTGTTGATGGTTCTTTGTCGCTCGGGCAGCTGCACTTCGGCTTCGAAGAAGCGCCCAATTAGTCGACTCCTACGTCATGCTTGTTTTTTTTCCACAATGGAGGCCAGGAGCACACGTGACCACTATGAGAAGTAATGAAAGTATGACTATTAAAAAAAAAAACAACAACAACACTACAACGCATTACATATTGAATGAGATTCCAGATGAGGTAATCACACATTAGAGGCTTCCTTGTACTGAAGAGTTGAATACCTATTCAAATACCTGCTTGCTATATTAATCTACTGAACGTAAATTTACCTAGAAAAACCACAACAGAAAAATGCTGGGGTTGGTTTTGCATCGTCTTGCAATGGATTCGCAACAAACTCCACCCCCCCCCCCTCCCATGTTAGCTTTCTATGACTTAATAAGGAAGTAGTTTATTTATTGCGGCAGTCTTACTGTGTGTAACTCCTTCAACTACACACATTCTCAAGTTCGTAGCCTTGTTATTACTGTTGAACTCTATGGATATTCAACACCCACATGTAAGAAGCTGACTGTGTCTACAGTTTATATGTCGCTTTATTACCGTACGCTTAAAAAAAAATCCTGAATGTGGGAACCATAGCCTATTTCCGAATCTGCAGTCTTTTTTTTTTTTTTAAAGTTTCTACACGTTTTAGTTAGTTAACAATGTTAAATGGATGTGTGTGTGGGTGGGTGGGGGGGGGGGGGGTGCGTGTGATATTTGAATAGACGAAGAGGTACCTGATGAGCTTTATGATAAACATCATGCTGGCTCCACCCCGCCCCCCCTCCCCCATAACCATCCCCACAAGAATATTTGTGGTACCAATTTTAGGTGCTGTAGATCTGGGAGTTCAGGTCAGTTGTTGAAACTATCCATATATTTGTGTGTGTGTGTGTGCGCGCGCGCCTGTCTATGTTAATTAGACCATATCCAGATTACCCTTTTGTCAAAAACAAGCGAAATTATTATCTACGTTCGTAAATACCTTCCTGAAATAACCGGAATGTTGTCCTAAATGAGAGCACTGTGTAATTTCATGGTTTTATGTTAATACGCATTAAAGTTAAAATTTAGATGAACATGACAAAACGGTACATATCAGTTTGGACATGACACAAGTAAAATGTATGACTACAATAACCTTGCATGTGGAGGGACCCAAACTCACATCATACAAGCCATAAACACCCGGTGTCACAAAGTGCTACGCTATCATGGGACACACTGAAAAAAAAATTTGAAAAAATATATAAACATCGGCGGTGAATTATCAGGTGAATAGGTAATCTGCGTTGAATAATAATACACAATACGCTGTTACTTTAATCGCTCAATCAAGCTCATCGCACATTGAAGTGCAAGTGTTTTGGCTACCTGTATAGTGTTCATGTCTGGCAATGTCTCTATTGACATGAGGTTCTTGTAGTCTTGCCAAGGCTGCCGATCCACCGTCGCCTCCTGATACATCTATCGTCCTGCCTCCTGCCTCCCTACATCAACTCAGTCAGTTGCTCTTAATGTGGCTAATATGGCCTGCCAGCAAGTTAGTCTGCTCGTTCCTCCCCTATTACACCGAGGGCTCCTGCACACGAATAAAATGTGTTTATATCAGACGAGATTTCCTCTGAGACTCCAACCATTGTCTTCAAACCCACGCTGTTTCTATTCTCTTAAGCCTGTTAACGGAATCAGAAAGCAGAATAGTGAAAAATGTGTCTCTAGCCAGGTCACTGTTTTATTGCTACTATCACATCCATAGTCAGACTTCTTGAAGTCACGGCAAAAGCACTGCTAAAAACACTTTTGATTACACCGATATAAACAATAATGAAGCGAAACGTACGCAAGCTCAAAATTTCCTTAATTCCTTATTTTGTAAATCAACTAATTTATTTATTAGAAGGCCCACTGTGTGGGTTCTGGGATTCCATTGTGGGTAAAACTAGAATAGACTCACTGCATTTCCCAACAAGCATGTCGAAAGAGTCGACTAATTGAAGGACCTCCTTTAAAATCGGAGTGCATCGGACTGAGAGGCAAGTAAAAAGTTGTTTGCATACAAGTCAGATATGTACAACCGATGTGCGTACCACTCAGTTCTGAAAGAAGACTAGAGTCCAGAAGTGGACGAACAACCAGAACTTTTTGTCAGAGTTTACAGGCAGTGAAGGCTAAGAAGAAGAAGAAGAAGAAGAAGAAGAAGAAGAAGAAGAAGAAGAAGAAGAAGAAGAAGAAGAAGAAGAAGAAGAAGAAGAAGAGGAAGAAGAAGAAGAAGAAGAATGAGAAGAAGAATGAGAAGAAGAAGAAGAAGAAGAAGAAGAAGAAGAAGAAGAAGAAGAAGAAGAAGAAGAAGAAGAAGAAGAAGAAGAAGAAGAAGAAGAAGAAGAAAAAGAAGAAGAAGAAGAAGAAGAAGAAGAAGAAGAAGAAGAAGAAGAAGAAGAAGAAGAAGAAGAAGAAGAAGAAGAAGAAAAAGAAGAAGAAAAAGAAGAAGAGGAAAAAGAAGAAGAGGAAAAAGAAGAAGAAAATTTATTAGAATTGCATTTCGATTGGTGGTGGCCAGTGCACAAACAGAGCGCACTTTTAAACAAAGTTTTAAAACATGTAAATGTTATTATGTGAATGTCTGAGTGTGCATACTCGCGATTATTATTATTGTGAGAGTTGTTATTATTAATATGCCTACTCGTAAGCGAACGACTTCGTATTTTTCTCTCAAATTTATTTAAGCTAAATGTGAAAATGACTGATAATTAATCCAGATTCTTTTCTTTTAAGTTACCACATCATGTGGGATTTAGGGAAATCCCATAGTATTGGGGAGGGGCGGTGAGGTGGGGGGGGGAGGGGGGGTAGTGTTAGTAGTAGCCGCTTTTCATTTAACACTGGACCTAACCCTAACCCCCTATTTATGGAATGTTCCTAAATCTCGCGTGATGTGGTGAGTTAACAGAAAAGAACCCTAATTTGTTGAATCCACACGCACGTGTATATTCCATTATTGTTTATACAACCCACACAGACATCGATCCTTGAGTTGAACTGGCTCCA